TTTGTGGCAATCTCTTATGCAACAATAGAAAATTAATACAGGATTTATAAGACTGAAATATATGTGTAACTTTTTTTAAACAAAAAAGTTTATATGATCTAAATAGGCAAACAGACAAAATTTCTGGATTTTAAAATATGAAATCTCATTTGATTCCAAACAAAAGAATCATAGCTCTTTATTCCTGTCTTATTTCTGTCGCATTGTACATGGCTTTTGAATGAAAATGATTCCAACCACATCAGAGGAAGAATTAAGTAATTATATTACAAATAACCCCAGTGTGATTAAATTGAGGTTTTGCCTATACATTGAGTCTTTAGTTTTATTGGCATATTCTTTTTCAGCTTCAGTTATATTACTTTCATTTTTAAAACTGCATAATCATCATTCTCTCCTGCTCTTTGCTCAACTACTAATTTAAATATTTCATTTATAGTCACTATATTCTGTATCTAACAACTCTATTTACAAAAAAGGAGTTCTAATTCTGTAGACAGTCAAAAGAAACAATACACTATGGAATTAAAATTCCTTTCTGTAAACAGAATTTTTAGACACAGACTATGATGGCTATAAATGAAATCTTTCAAGAAATAGATGTGCCTTTTATTTCAAGCTTATATTTTGTGAAAATGTTGAGGAAGCAAAATTCTGTCAGGTAGCCAGGAGGTACAATATCATTTCAAAACATTATTTAATTCTCAGGGAGAAGTTTCCCTAACTTGCAGGGTAAGGTAACTATGTAAAAATGCTGGCCAGGCTCGTTGGCTTAGCCTGTAATCCCGTGCTTTGGGAGGCCGAGATGAGTGATTGCCTGAGCCCGCGGGTTCGAGACCTGCCTGGGCAACTTGGCGAAACCTCATCTCTACAATAAATCAAAAAAATTAGCCGGGCATGGTAGCACGCGCCTATAGTTCTAGCTACTTGGAAGGCTGAGGCAGAAGGATCACCGGAGTGCAGCAGGTCGAGCCTGCGGTGGCCGCGAGCGTGCCACTGCACGCCAGTCTGGGTGACAGAGTGAGACTCCAACTCAAAAAAAAGGTTGGGGACAAATTCCCAAAAGAAATGATAATGATGATGACATTATTTTTTTTATTATTTAAGTCAATTCATTTCACTTTAGGCAATGGCAAAGTTTCACTTACTCATTTGTTCCCTTATCTATCCTATCTATCTATCTATCTATCTATCTATCTAATATCATCTTATCTAGTTTTGCTCTGCCCATCCTTTCACCAAGGATGCAAACATTATTTCTTGTATTTACAATTTCAATTTGTGATGATCAGAGCCTTTGCAGTTTCATTTTCTATTCACTTGTACTTTAATGGGTGTGTGTGTGTATGTGTGTTAAAACAAAGAACTGGGTATTCTGGGTGATTCTCTTCCTTGGGAAGAGAGCAATGCATTTGGGAGCAATTTATTCAGCATACAGGTGCTTTATATCAAGAAGTCTTGTTCTAATATATATACATATACAAACACATGGAAGTAAAAGTCTGATCCAGCATTTTGGCATGCTTTTAATTACATATGCAGCATTCCATAAACATTATATGGCATTGGTTTGCCTATTGTAACGTATCAAATGAAAGGCAGCAAATTATAAGGATATATGTTTTACCAAAGATTTTATTTCTGCCTCTGGTTAATTTATGTTCACTTCCGTATGATGACATCTTTTTTTTTTTTGAGTTGGAGTCTCACTCTGTCGCCCAGACTGGAGTGCAGTGGCCGCTCCCGGCCACCGCAGCCTCGACCTGCTGGGCTCCGGCGATCCTTCCGCCTCAGCCTTCCAAGGAGCCGGAATTACAGGCATGCGCTACCACGCCCGGCTGATTTTTTGATTTATTGTAGAGATGAGGTCTTGCTGCCCAGGCGGGACTCGAACCCGCGGGCTCAGGCAATCCACTCACCTCAGCCTCCCAAAGGCGCGGGATTACAGGCTGAGTCACCGAGCCCGGCTTGATGACATCTTTTTAATTGAGTATTTACATTACTTTCAATGTTTTCCTATTACATGTAATACTACAAGTGGTGGAAATATTGGAGTATTGGTTATCTATCTTCAACTGTGATCGATATTTCTAAATTGCTTTCCAAACATTTTTACCAATTTACAATTTACCAACAGTGCATAGATGTTCTAATTGCTTCATATTGCTTTCAGAGTTGATGTTATTACCATTTAAAAAAATTAACCATACTACGGTAAATTGGTGTTTCGTTTGTCTTTAGTTTGCACTTCTCTGAACCTAAGTGAACTTTCCACATATTTTTGGCCACTTAGATTTCTTCTTCTAAAAATGAGCTTTTCCTTTTACTTTGTACGTTTGTCAATTGTACAACTATTTTTTCTCTTGTATAGAGTTATAAACATATACTTCTGTATTTCTCTGGAAGTGATGTTTCCACATTAAAACTTTAATCCACATGAAAATTGTGTCTGTAGTAGTTTTATTATTTATGGGTAATTCATTCCAGAACAATATATTGGTTTATAATCCACTGACTATAATACCAATTTAGTCATTCATCAGGATGACATAAATGTATGTGTGTGTGCATTCCATTTAATTCTGGTCTCTATTGTATTCCACTCTGTTTCTGCACCAAAACCACAATATAAAAAATATATCTGTCAAACAGATCTTATCAATTCTTGCATTTAGTGTCTATATAAATCTTAACACCGGTCTGTCAAGTTCCATGAACATCTCTACTTGCATTTTAATCAAGATTGCTTTTAATTCACATATTTGAAACAATGCTATTGATTGTTCTTTCTATCCATGAATATCCTTTCTACATTTTTTCAACATATTAGAAAATTTTTTCTTTATGAAATATTACACCTTTTTGTGATATTATTTCATAGGACCAGTATAACTTGTTGCACTATATTCTAAATGCAACACTTTAAGCTTTAGTATTGATTTTGAATATTGATCTTATATCTAGCAACTTTCCTACACTTTCTCATATGTATCAGATACAGAATATGGTGACAATAAATGAAATCTTTAAAGGTACAGATGGAATTTTAAACATCAGCAAAGAAAATGATGCCGTTTTAAAAATGAAATGGTCATAAATTCTATAAAATTATTTGTACACATATCATCTGAGAACAATGAGAATTTAGTTTCTTCTATTACTCCTTTTAAAGGGAATGCTTCCAAATAATCACCATTAAGCATAGTAACTGCTGTAGATGGTTGGTACGTACCTTTTTTCATTGAATGGAAGTTCTTTAATCTTTGTTTCTATATTGTCAATGTCTTTTTTAGGCAGTAATTGATATTGAATCTTACCAAACTTTTTTTGATACCTATTGAAATTTTCACTTTTTTCCCCTAATAGTAATGTGATTTTCTGAGTTGAAGTCTTGTGATTAACCTGACTTGTTGATAATGTTTACTTTAGGAATTCTAAAGGAGTTGGCTTACCAGCTTCTTCATTTTTTAAAAAAACTATCTTGAGATAATATTATTTGGCCAACTTTCTTTTTTGCTGTATTATCAGTAAGATTCTGTCTGGTGCACGTATTAAGGTAGAGATGAGATAGGTTTTAAAAAAGCTACAGATGTATTCATTTATTTAAAATATTAAAAATTCCTTGAGTTGTTTGATGTTATATTTTTAAATAATTTTTTTTCTATTTTTTAAATTCATAGATTGTTCATAAGTATGATTTTTAAATTTCTATTTTAACTGTATTTTTAAAAATTAGTCCTTACTAAATATTCTATTACTTCAACAAAAACCAAAAATATGAGTTATAACACTAGCCTTCTACTATCACTTGCTTCTGTAATTTGTAGATTTTTGCTTTATGAACTTCAGGCAAGTCACTGCTGTTGAACATATTTTTCTAGTAGTATTTCCTTTTTAGCTCACATATTTCCAGTGAGGCTCAAGTAATATATAATTTTAAATCTCTTCAAAGATAGAAAAATATAAACAAAATCCCAAGGTTTTACAGGTTTATCTGCAAAATCTTTTTGTACAAGCACATCACTTGTAACATTGCCCTCCAAGGCAACATCATGAGCATCTTTGGGAACATAACTGAGAATAAGAGACTGTTACCCTTGCAGATTTCCAAAGTCTGATGATATCCCTAGCTGACTTGAAAACTGGTAATTGAACATAAGCACTAACATGAAAAGATGTTTAATAAATATGCTTTTAGTATATTCTCTTCACTTCATAAACTCTTTAAGTATTATGAAACACTTTAAAACCTTTTAGATAGGTCTTAATAGAAGGCAATTACTAATTATTAATGGATGCGAAGAAAGTTCTTCCTAACTACTTCAACACAGCACACCATCAATTTAACTTCATTTCTGTCAACATCAAGTAATTTATCATGTTCTTGACCTGATGCTACATGTTGTAGTTAAAATGCTAAATCTAGGTAGCTAGAAGGTATACAATGTGTTATATTTTTAAATATGTTACTTAGAAAACATGTCAATAATCTTCAAAGTCCTAGGAAGGGCTCAAACTCTGTATTAGGAATTGGAAGAAATGAAAAACCTCAGAACTACTATTAAAAGCAAAACAAAAGACTTAAAGTGTTGAGGTCAAATTTTTAAGAAGTACTGAGAAAAAATTACATTTTCTGCTGTGAATCATATGCCTTTTAAGAGCAAGAATATTAGCCTCAAATTATGATAACACGTATATTAGTGAACCCAAACTGAACTATCTTTCACAGCAAGCTTTTAGTAACAGGACTGGGTTGTATTTATTTTACCACCTTCTTACAGAAAAGGAAACACTGCTTATATTTTGGTCCTTTAACTAATGCTGAAGACCACGAAATTTGCAGGACAAGATTAAGAAACAAAGCTGGGCAGAGTTCCTCTATCTGTTCTGATAAAACTAATTCCCAATAAGGTTTGACAGAAATTCCATATTTATTGTACTAGGTTAATGCCTGAAAAACACGTACAATTTTAAAAGACAAATACAGAGTCCAAATAAAATCATTTTTTAAAATTTTGTTTATTCTTACTGTTTACCAATGGGGAGATGCAACTTATTTACACCAGCAGCCATAGGGGCAAGGGGAATACACAGTTAGTCAGCTATCTGTATAGGATGTACTACTTATGCAAAAATAATTATCTCCAAAACAAAGGACAGTGGTGAGCTTCACAACCCTCCCCCCAATGATCCCAGCATGCGATAATGCCAGGCAGTGGTCCCTGGGCATGCGGTGGTGGTGGGAATTAATGAAAGAAAAAGCCACAAACCACGTAAAATTTTAAAGAACCCCCTTTTCCCGTTTTACACACACACACACACACACACACACACACACACACACACACACTCAGATACATAAAGGATTACAAGGTGATCAATACACTTAATTGAAGAGGAGAGAATAGGATTCTGTTGTTAGAGGAAAGGTAGGTAGGGAAAGGGAGAGTTCCTAAACACTGTCAACTACATGGTAGGGAGCATTTTCTCCCCCAAAGAGCCTGTACCCTCAGGGCATCTGCTGGACCAAGCCCACCTACATCCACCCAGGGCAGGAGGGGGGGCTACTGCCCTATTGATAGAGGGACACGGGGACACACACACACACACACACACACACACACACACACATACACACAGAAAGGTTGGGAGGTAATGCAAACAAATCATTATTCTAAACTATGTCCCACTTCCTCCTCTAACCAAGAGAAAAGGCCAGAAAGAAAACAGTAATATCATGATCTGCATTCCCTAGCTAAAAGAATGATTAGACCATGGCTCTTGTCCCTTACCTTCATCCAGCTTCCAAGACATTGTCAGGAAGTAGGTCACAGTCTCACTTAGACCCTCCTTTCCCTCTATATCCTCTTACATGCCTACAAAAAGTCAAGGGCAAAGATAACCCAACATTACTCTAGCTCCTGCAAAGGTCTGACTTTTTAAAAAGTTATTACAATTCTTCAGTTGAAGACCAATCTGTAACTAGACCTAGACCCTAATCAAGACAACCCTAGGAAGATAAAGCACTAATAGACAGTCTCAAGGCCCAAGCTCTATGGTATTCTTAACCCTCTCTAGTACATAACCGAAGTCAACCCATACAGTCCAAATAGTTCCTTCTGGGAAATGGAAGAGTAATTGCACAGCAAGGGTTAGAGAATGGATAGAGCCGGACCAACTCCATCCCTATGTACGTCTGCTTTTACTGCTCTTCTGCTTAGGTCCTAAGAGGCAGTATCCAAGTAGAGGCAAGAAGATATAATTCCTCATGAAGTAAGATACAGCAGGGAGAGCACACTAGCAAGGCAGTCTTATACAGGAAAAATGCTTACGTATTAAACTGCCTTTTAAATACAAAAAATTATGTTTTCTTCCAATTCCAATCCCAACAGAGAAAGCCATAATAAAGATTCTTAAGTCTTCTACAAAAATAGGAAAAGAAAAACAAAATACTTGAAGGAAGCCAAGGGAAAGAAAACTGGGCAAGTTTCAGAAGCATGAGCACTAAGAGAGATGAATTGAAACTGGTCAATGTGAAAGCTGGAGTGGCAAGCAGCACCTGGGGTTGTGAGCTGCACCAGATAGGCAGTGGGGCAGGGGACAAGAGGAACATGGGGCCAAGCCAGACAGATGAGGCTGGGCCCCTTACTGGGGCACAGAATGAGGTAAGAAAACATTTCAAATAAAGCAGCACCGTTCCCATTCACTGTGGGGTTCCCACCCCGCTATGCTTCACAAACCCTCGCTCAGGGAGTAAAGTGTAGTTTTGATATGTGGCTGTCACTTTCCATTTTCCCCTATCCCATTCCCTGACGCCAGGAAATTCTGGAGGTCCGTCTCTGTCTCCAAACAATAAAAGGACAGCTCTTGTTGTCAAGAAGATCCAAAGGGAACCTAGTGGAATGGACTGTCCTCTGTGATGGGAAGAGAATGTGGTGACAGTCTGGATGTTCACCATAGCAGAGCTCTGACAGACCAACAAAAGAAACAGGGGCATTCAACAGGATTATTTCTGCACACAGTCAGATGAGAGATGGCCCAGTCCTGCTCCTTGGCTCCTAGCACTAACCCATTCACATTACTGAGGGCAGTTGGAAGAGGTCCCCTCTAGGCTCAGTTTTCAAATCATAGCCTGTTACACAGTCATGATTCTCTTCTATAGTTCAGGCCTGCCCCTGGAGTGGGAGGCAGATAGTGACCTGGCATAATGACCAAGTCACACCCATGGACTGGTTAGGTTACCAGTAATTCAGAAAATGACTGCCCAATAAACTTATATCCACAGAATACATCCAGATATGAATCTTGCAGTTTGAGAAATCGTGCATAGTTGCAGAGGTCCCTGCTACTTCTCCAGGGGATCAAAACTGAATCCTCAGCCTGCTTGGACAACAAAATTGTACATTTGCAAGCCTATGCCACCAGATGCGAGGGCAAGAGAGGGCTCTACTCAGCCAAAGGATAGGCCTAGTCCTCAGACTGGTTGGAATCACTGTAAAAGCTGGACCTTTGAGAAACCGGTGGTTTTTATCTTTTCTTCTTGTTGAACTCAAGGCTACAGCGTTTCCCTACCAATTCTGGTTGGAAATTCTTTTTCTTGGTTTTCTCAAATCGAAATTGTCAGCATACAGATCTCACATCTGACTTTTTCATTTATCTCAAAGAAGCCCTAATCAGAGGCTCAGAGATCAGAAGAGCAGTCCCACTTAGGCCACTGATTATAGCTTTGACCAATTTAGTAATGTCCACCATGTCCAGGAAGCCCCTGACATCAGGCAGAGTAACAGAAAATTTTCCATGCCGGTAACACACCGCTCACCTGCGAAACAGGGGCACTACAGGATCTTGGGCACATCCTCGTGTGTTTAGATATATACACACAATGCACTGCACACAGGCAGTGCAGCAACTCCTGCCCCTGGCTGCAGAGCTGACCTCAGGAAATACACTTAGAAAAGAAATTCCTTAATTCTCCAAGTGGGTTTTTTAAACGCTAGGATCTTCAAAGGGAATTTGAACTTTTGTCGAATTTTTTTTTTCTTTTCCTACTTAGCTTACTCCTCCAAGCCACAGGACCAGTCTATGTCATTCTCCTGGTCACTCTCAGACGCTCTCATGTTGCAGCTACTGGAATTCCGGAGGTGAGCGCTGCAGCTGCTGATCGGGCCCATTCTCAGGCTCTCCGGGAAGGGAGCAGAGCGGGAGGCGGCACGCGCCTTTGTCTTCCACGGGCTGAATGCCAAAATCCTTCACGCTCCCAGTCTCTGCGAACTCCAGGTAGAAGTAGCCGCACTTGACTGCCCGGTGCACCTCAAAGCAGAATCCCAAACAAGAATCCTCTATCAGGTCTACGTAAATCTCCTGCGCGATGGCCTCTAGCTTGTTAGTATCCAGGTTGGCCAACGAAATCTCCTCCATTTTACTGCGTAAGCGACTGTGGAGAGGGCGCTCGCTTTACTCACGGTAACAACACGTCAGGCTCCGCGGGCCGCACCTAGGCCTACAAGGCCTCTTAGGGCCGCGTCCTTCGGCAGCAGCGGCGGCGTTCGCGGCGGCAGAAGCAGCAGCAGCGGCAGCGGCGACTGCCCCGGAATCCCAAGTCCTTCCGCTGGTTCTGGCGTCTCCCCGATTCCGAAGCTTTCAGCTGCTCCGGGCCCAGGACTCACCGCCAAACCGTCTCCGCGCCTCACCCAGCCGCCCGGGCCTCTTCCGCTCCCTTGTCGGGCTTAGCCCCGCCTTCCCGCTTCCGCCCCTAGCGCGCCTGCGCATTGGCTCCGCGCAGGCTCGCCTGGCCTCTCCAGGCGCGCAGCTGCTTTGACCGCGTTTCAATATATAAATACGGGTGGGATGAGCTGAACTGTGTCTGGCTTCCCTTCGTTCTAGTTGTAAAAAGATTGCAGAGATGCTCTTTAGTTCCTTTATTTGTAGGTTTAAACGGTCGCTGACGAATTGTGTACCCATGATTAATTGATAGCCTCTGAAAAAAAGGGAAAAAATAATAATTACGTGCGCTGTGGTGGTATGTTCCAAAATATTAGGAACAGGTCTCTGCATACGTTTAACAATTTGACTTACATGATTGACTTGTGATAATTTATAGTATTGCCGTAGTTATCATTTAATCCACTAGATGGAGCAAGGAAACAAATTACAGTATGCTTTCTTCAGTCTTTTTTTTTTTGGATGAAGAAACTAAAAACTAGGCACTAAAGGCATAATTCATATATATTGATCAAATAAACCTACAGCATCTATCTCACTTATAAAACCATTAAGTCAGGTTGACTATAAAAAGATGATAATATTCATCTTTAAAAGACTTCAAAGATAAAATTATGTCCATATTCTGTCTTGAAGAGGGAGGAAATCTGAAATATGTTAAAAACAGTGGGCAATAAAGAAAGCTTTTTCTAAACTTACATGCATGAATTGTGAGAACAGGCGTCAGTCCACCTGGGTTAAAGTTCTGGCGCCAACACTTAAACAGGTCTGTGTTTTCTCATCTGAAAAAACTAATCTTTATTTCATATTTAATATTAAATGTTAAAAATTATCTTGTGATAGTTGCTTACATGTAAGCAATGGTTCAGTGAATGTCAGCTATTTTTAATTATATTGTTATGAACTTGAATATTAAATAAATTACTGTAGTATTTCCTTTTTTTGCTCATTTTTTACCCCATCACCACTGTGAGATAGAGCAGCCTCTATTCTTCATGATTTATTTTAAAAGCTGCAACTGAACGAATTTTGAAAATACTTGTTTGTATCTGTCTAATTCTATATTTTGCTTTCCAGCTTAAAGGAGAGGGGTATCTTTTGAACAGATACAAATAAGTATTTTCTAATGTATATGATCCTGAGAAATCTAAATAGTTTTAGAATTGATTCTTAATAAATCATTATTTTTCATGGATAAAGGATTAAGTTAACTTTATTTGGTTTATGAGTAGCTAGTATTTGTTTCCATTCAAATTTTTCTGATTCCTTATTTTACCATTTTCAAAAACACATATTGGCAGATATGGAGCATTTTGGAAGCCTAGACTGTTTAAAATTCATGTACTATAATTTTTTTAAAAATCATGGACAGGATGTTTTTTATTCTTTGTAGTATTTGTGTAATTTATATTTTCTCCATTCAGAAATTCACAAATTTTAACATATGTTGGAATCTCCACATAGCCATATAATAGGCCATACAATATAATGACAGTGCACAAGTTCTTGAGTCTGATGCCTCATACCAGTTACTGTCCAATCTATCTCTAAATCTCAATTTTCATTGTAAATTGTCAATAACAGTTCCCTTCATATGGGCTTATTGAGATTTAAACGTGGTAATAACTATAAAAGTCTTCACATAGTGTTTGGCAAATTCATTAGTATATAATATTGCATTGAATATCTACCTAGTACCGTGAATTGTCTGATTAGGTGAGAAAATACGGATTTAATTATAACTGTTTTCACTCACTTCATCTTTAACTTAATTTAAAGCAGTGCCTCTCAAACCATGTGTATTAATCTCTCAAAGATCCTTTGATAATGTATATTATGATTTTGATAGGCGGGACCTGGATTTCTGTATTTTTAACATATCACACTTTAAGTAGCAAGGAATTAAAAGCACCTGATAGTGGACCTCATCGTGTTGTTCTTCATAGTGATTGGCTCACATGTAATTTGTTCTTGCCAAATTATAATAGGAGTTTTTGCATGCTTGAATTTGACAGAGAATAAAATTGCCCCCTAAATCTTGTATTGTGAGAGTTGGAACTCAAATCCTCAACTTATGTAGTTAAGAGGAGTCTTCAATAAAATTAACTTCAAAATATATACAGACAGATCTTCATATCAATTGAAATTCAAATAATCAAGGGCACGGCTAGGCTTAGATTCCCTGTTGGTTTTATTATATTTACTCTTAGAAAAAGAGCATTACTGTTACATCAAAATTTTGCACTAATACCCATTGTCACCTTATCACATTTCTTTTACTTGTATCATTTAACTAGATTGACTTACTTATTATGGAAATTTACTGAAATTCTTTATGTTTAATCAATAACATGCAACAAAAATGTTGAGAAAAACTTCTTAGTTCTTTGCAGTTAATAGAGTTGAAGTATTTCTTAAGCCTTTAATGTAATATAAAATTTAGAAAAATTTTTTTATTACCTAAATTAGTTTCTAAATACAAAGCAAGTAACATGAATTAGTTCTTCATAAATAAATAATCTTCAAATTATTGCTTAAAATATTAAGTGTACAAATTAAGGCAAGCACAGATAAAAGAAATATATTATGAAATTTTAATTGTCTTTGATTATTCTCTTCCCATTCAATAATTGTAATATATGCATTGAGAGAATCAACTGTTTCAAAAGTGAACACATTTTAAATTGTTATTTTAAAGTTTTCATTGAAGATTGAAATTCCATCAAACATCTTTATGTGCCACACTTTTTTGTATTCACATAAACTAGAATAAGACAGCATAGTGTATCAGGGATAGACCTGGGACTGGTATCAAAAGATCTCAGTTGCTGTCATATTTCTGCTAAGAACTTAGCAGGTGATCTTGAGCAAGAAAGTGAATTCACTTTTGTAATGAACTGACAGGTGAACTCATGTCTAAATGTTTTCTTCAAAACTAAATTTCTATGTAGTGAAGAATCTGAGGAAATAATTTCTACACAGTTGAAGGTTGAGTAAATTCATTTGTATTAGTCCATGTGGCTCAAATGTTAAATCCTCAACTGAGTATCTAATGGTTTTCTTACCACAAACTAACCTGCTCTGCTCCATAGAGCAGTTTGAATCACCCCCATGTTTTAAAGTTAAGAGAATTGTGTAGCTACTGAATACCAGCTGGATGCTGTAATTGACTTTCCTAACATCCAGAGATGCTACTTGTGGATGATCATTTTTAGTTAAAAATTTTAATTGGTCTGGGGACTTGTAGAGCATTCATTAAAACTTTACTTATTTTTCTTTACTCATCTGGGTATCGTAACATAAAAGAATAGTAAGTCAGAGAAGAAGGGAACATCTTACCATATTATCTTCTCTTATAAACTGTACTTTCTTTAGACTATTATTGTTATCAGAAGTAAGCTATAGAATCTTGTGCCTTTTTGGTCAATTATTTGCTAAAAAAATATGTGTTTTATAACTCAACTGTAAATACTAACATGTATTTTCAGGTATAGCTAGCTTGAAATTTCAAATTAATGCTCTACAGAAATCCATTTTTCAGGATTTTCAATTAAAAACTAATTAGTATGGTTTGCATGAGATTCAGAGATGCTATAATTAAATATTAAATTAGGGTGTCGTAATACAATTGCAGTGTCTAAAATAAACTTATGATAAATCTGCTCTAGTAAACTGTGAAATCAAGGCTGTTTATTGAATTTTGGTATTTATGAAAACCATGGGTTATAATCTACTAAAGAGAAAAATGCAGTAATTCTAAGTTGCATATAGTTAGTAAGTTACATAATAAAATGTTTTTAAAAGTTGATATTTTAATATATTAATTATTCAGAACCAATTTGATCTATGAAAGAACTTCAGAGAATCTGGAATAATTCACACATATTTGTATGCACTAGCATACAGATGATCCTCACTTTATGATGGCGCTATTTCCTGATAAACTTATAATAAGTTGAAAATATCATAAACCATATTCATTTAATATACCTAACCTACTAAACATCACAGCTCAGCTTAGCTAGCCTACCTTAAATGTTTTCAAAACACTAGCCTACAGTTGGGCAAAATCATTTAACACAAGTCTATTTAATAATATAGTATTAAATATCTCATGTGTTTATTGAATACTGTACTAAAAGTGAAAACCAGAATGGTTATATGTGAACTCAATGTACCATTTGTACTGAATGCTTCTCACTTTTGCACCATCACACAAAAATAAATCATAATTTGAACCACTGTAAGTTGGGGTGACCTGTGTTTTAAAAAAATTATAAAGCATTTGTGATACTGTCCTGAAACTTATAAGCTATTTCTTAAATAGAATGATTAGTTATGACCCCTCCCTGTATGAAAAAGTCGACATGGTAGTACAGGTTAGCTTTTATATAGATAAAAGAATGAACCCAGAAAAATGTAAACGTGAACACTGATTTGTGATTAGGCAATATGGATGTAGTAACAACAGAGATGTCTAAAAATATTTATCTTCAAGAAATTTCAAACATAAAAGAATTGCAAAAATATCGCAAATAATTTTTACATAACTATGTTTCACTCACATTTACACATTAACATTTTGCCACCGTATTTTATCTCTTTCTATTTCTGTTGCTGAAGTTGCCTTATTAAAAACATATTAGAACTTCTATTTTTCCTAGTCTAATTTATAGTAAGTTGAAGACAACATATCCTATTATACCTAAATGTTTCAGAGTGTATATGCCTTAAGAATAAAGTATTCTCTTATGAGGGGTGACCCTTCCCCCGCAAAAAAACCCAGAATTATCCCTTGTAGTACAGCCTTCCCACGCTAGGTAAGTGTTCTAGAAATCCATCAGCCCAGTGTCCTAACTAGCATTGTTGTGAGAGACTGCGTTTGGCTTCAGTGAATTTTTTTTTTTTTGGAGACTCTTTCAATGTGTATGCTTATTTCGTGATGGGTGAGTTATGAGTGCACCTGCCCACACTGCGCTGGGTGTTTAAGCAGTTTTTGACCAAAAATAGTATAAACCCCTGTGCCTCACCCTCCC